AGTAAATACAACAGAAAAACCAAAGCTCAACATCAAGTCGTCACACAAGGCTTTCCCGAATGTAGAAGCTGCACAGGACATGCTTCTTGGTCGCCCTCATTTCATTTGTACAATCAAACCATATTGCCTTTCAAAGAATTTTTTGGTAAGTTCAAAGCTAATATATAATTCATTTGTTTCACTCGAAAAGACAAAAAAAATAAAGGGAAAAAGGAACTCATTTTGCTATGTTGAACTACTTTTTCTTTAATAATATCAAAATGTGAAGCATAAAGATGATGAACTGTTTTTGTGCAATTGATTATAAACTTTTTCAGCAACTTCCGGACCCATTTGCACAGGAAAATGGTCTAAGGAACAGGAAATGTACGATAACAATAAGGGATGAACAAATGTCTTGGACATTTAAACTATATTCTTCTGTCTCACATACCTTCATTGGAGGTGTATGGAGTAAATTCTGCATCGCAAATGGCTTTAAGGAAGGAGATCAGATAATGCTTGTGATAGTTGCAAATGGAAATAACCCTATATTGAAAGTTTATGGCAAGTTTCTCATCTAATCCCTTCTCTTAAACTTCGTTCAACTTTCCACTTTTTATTTATTTCCTTATTTTATCATAAATATAATGAAGTGATATTATTTTTTCTTTATGAGGATCATCTAGTTATTGAAATCTTTGCAACTGTACCTATCCTCATAGTTTTTATGGCTTTCTCAATTTTTTTTTGAAGTCTTTTAAAAATTGAGACTAATATTTGGAGCACAAAATCCTTTGATTAGTCAGGGTAAAAAACACAGTTGTTAACCAGGATTATTTAATGGCGATTCCCCCCTCTCCTCCCACACACACCCCGTCCAAAGATTTTCAAAATCAATCTCCAGCATGCAATGCTTGTGCAAAACAATCTTCTTTTATTACTCTTCACTACCATTGGGAGTTCAATTAGTCCACCATAGTTCTTTTGAGGCTAGGATATTATGTTATTGTGCTTAATCTGTTTTAAATATTCTTGGTATGATGAGTTAGGAGAGTTGTTTAAAAAGGTCGTGTTTATATGAAGTGTAGTTTGATTGCTCGAGGACGAGCAATGGTTTAAGTGTGGGGTGTTGATGGTAGGCTATAATTACGTATTTTAGTCCACCATAGTTCTTTTTCATCTCTCCTTTTCCTTTGAATTTATCTTTTTTCCTGAATTTTGCCAATAACGATTCTGTTTTGTTTCAATAATGTGCTTCTTTTGGTTTTAAATCCTCTTCATTTTCGATGTCTGACATTTTGTTTCATTTTAAAAACTAGATTCGATGGGAAATGCGTCACTCCAGCCCGAAGGAAATTTATGTTCATTTCTCTGATTCTAATGATTCTTCTTTAATTTCAATTTTCAAGACTTTTTAATTCTTTGAGCCGGGAGTCCATTAAAAACGGTCTCTCTACCTTCACAAAGGTCCGGGTAAGGTCTGTGTACATTCTATCCTCCTCAGACCCTACTTTGTGGGATTACACTGGTTTATGTTATTGTTGTTGTTGTTAAGACTTTTTAAGTTCTGAATACGTTTTCTTGAGCTACTCTTGGTATCTCTTCAGAAAGTTCTTGGTCATGCTTTATAGAAGGCCATTTTCAAGAAGTTGACACATCTACTATTCATATGCTCTTGACAATGCATTTCAGGTTTTAAAAACAACTGTTGCCCAGGCACTTGTTAACAAAATCAAAACATAGATTTGATGTAAAATTATCATTCATTAAGTAGGGTAAGTCCATACTCTAGTTATTAATGAGGCTTTTTTTTGGTTTGGGTCTTTTTCCCCTTCGAATTTTCAGAAACAATCTGCAGAGATAAATGCTTCTGCAAAACAATGTCAGATATTTGGGGTTCTTCGCTACTATCAAGAGAGTATTAGCCCTTCCGAAATATTTTGCCTTCTCTTCTCTCCTAGAACTTTATATTCTTTCTGAATTGTCACAATAACAATTAACAACTCTTTTCTCTTTAACTTAATGTTCTATCTTTGGTTTTAAAATCATCTTCAGCTTCAGTTCTGATATTGTTGTTTCAATCTAAAACTAGATTTGAGAACAAGTGCATCACTTCAGCGCGAAGGAAAGAAGCCCGATTTGGATACCGGAAGAGTTTCCACTCGAGGTTTGGTTAAGGAGCAAATCCTTGTTTTTGTATCAAACACCTTGTCTTTTCTTTTCATTTTTCTGATTCTAACTTTTCTTTTCTTGTGCTTTTTATTAAAGGAATAACAGGCCTAATTAAGACCTCAGATATGCCTGCTACAAAAGCACAAGTGCCTTCTTCAACATCTGCTAATGCTAACCCTCATTTTATTTCTACTATTAGGCCTTATTTTATCAGCAGACCTTCCCTCGTAAGTAATTTGAATTAACTTTAGTTAAGCCCTTAATAGTTAAGATTGTTAGGATCGGGAACCCGGGTAGTGCGGAATTTAGCCAAACAACGGTATAATGGCAATAACAAAGACAATGGAAGTTGATAACAACTACAATTAAAGTAGATAAAGAAGACACAAATTTAACGTGGTTCGGTCAAAGTGACCTACGTCCACAAGCGGAGAGAGACAATTTACTATAACAATAAGAGTATAAAATTAGAGTAAATACTCTAATTAATCCCAAATACCTTAAGGAAATAACCTCACAAGATCACTCCAAAGAAAGGGTTCACACAAGTGCTTCCCAACACTTAACTCTCATACAAAACACTCTTAATAAAGGAAGAAAGGAAGAAACAAGAAATGAAGACTCAAGTCTTGTTGGTGTGTCTAAAATGAACTAATGACCTTCCCTTTTATAGGCAAAAAAGTCTTGGTTTCTTAGGTGTAAAAGAAGAGATACAACTTGTGCAAATGATATCCAACACACAATGAAATATTTTTGGGTCCCAAAAAATATTGCCAACAAAGTCTACACTTTGCAAAGATGCTTATGCTTATGTGAGATGGACTCCATTAGCCAAAATATTGGCCATAATTACAAATCTCCACCTTGGCCTAATTTTGGCTGATATAGTAAATTTTCTCCACCTTCTCCGCAAAAGCCCTAATGGGCATATGTTAAAATTTAATGCCATCAAAATCAGACAAGTTGTCTGATACCGAAATTGTAGTAAGGCCTATAACCGTGGATCCCAATAAAGTATACAACGAACCAGATCTGTGTGCTTTCATGATCACAAGAGCACCATGAGAAACTTTCAGAACTCCACCTTCACCTGTGTACTTACACCCAAGAGATTCTAGAGTGCCCAAAGAGATTAGATTTTTCTTCAAGTCAGGAACATATCTAACATCAATGAGAATTCTCACCACACCATCGTGCATTTTGATTCGGACTATACCTTTTCCAAAAACTTTGCAGGCAGCATTGTTGCCCATCAAGACAACTCCACCTCCAATAGATTCATATGTGGTAAATAAATACCGATTGTGACACATATGATAAGAACAACCCGAATCTAAAATTCACTCATTGTTAGATTTGAAACTATTATTAGTTGCTAAAAAAATAGTTCCCTCAGTCTCATCAGCAGCTACACTTGCTTCGGCAATGTTAGTATTTTTGTGCTCATTTTTCCTTTCCTTATGCTTTTCTTTATTTTTCAGCTTATAGCATTTAGAGATATTGTGACCTTTCTTATGACAATAGCGACATTATAAATTATTGTATATGGATATGAAGTCGGATTTGCCCCTAACAAACAAGCCAACTTTCGCTTGAGTTCCACTAGCTTCCCCAATAATATCACTATCTATATGTTCTTTTGATTTTAAGATAGATTTAATATCCTTATAAGAGATATTATACTTTGCATAAAACATAGTATCTCTTATATGCTTAAAAGATGGGGGTAGAGAACAAAGCAATAACACGGCTTGATCCTCATCTTTAATTTCAGCATCTATATTACTCAAATCCATAAGAATAGAATCAAAGGTGTCAAGATAAGAGAGAATAGAGGTACCTTCACCCATACGAATTGTATAAAGCTACTGCTTCAGGTAAAGTCTATTTTCCACCGTCCTCTTCATATATAAGGTTTTTAATTTTTCCCACATGCCTTTAGCTGTGGTTTCTACAGAAACTTCACGTAAAACCTCATTTGAGAGATTTAAAAT